GGGGGGCTGTCAGTCGAGGCAGAGGAAGGAGAGGGATGTCACAGCAGAGGACCCGAATGGAGCAGGGCACATACGAGGGCATATTGCCGAAGGGTTTCCATGCAGGTAATGTTGAGGAGGCCGGCGATCTCGAGATCCGGGAGGTGGTTCCTGGACAGGCGGCCCGGGGAAGGGTTAGGCCGAGAGTAGCAAGAGAAGAGGGGCGGACGGGGGGCCGGGCACAGGGAGTCCAAAGATCGGGCAAACGCACCAGTCGGGAGCCAGACCCGGCGGCGCGGCCCGCCGAACCGGGGCCGCGGGGGATGCCTTCGGGGCCGGGGCCGGGGCCGGGGCCGGGGCCGGGGCCGGGGCCGGGGCCGGGGCGGCAATGCGAGTCGGCGCTGGGCCAGAGGGGGACTTTGACGCAGACGCGGCGGGCTGTGTGGAGGGGGCAGGGTGGCCGGGCTTCAGGGCCGGCTGCTGGGTTGTCCGTCCAGGCTGAGAGACCTGGGGGCGGCTGTCCCGGACACCGCCCAGGCCGCCAACCTCCGCGAGGAGAGCCTCATCATCGGGGGCGGCAGCCGAGATGTCATCGAGATCCAAGTCCACAAGGCTACCGACGGCGGGCGAGCCATTCGTACGAGGACCCGGCGCAGGGCCCACAGGGGCCACAGACGCCATGGGCTTGGGGGCCGAGACCCCGACAGCCGGCGGCTTGGCACCGGGGGCGGAATCAAGGGCACCCAGTTGTGCCAGCAGGTCTTCATCTCCGGACCCGGCGTCGGAGATGTCCTCATAGTCCCGGTCCAGGATGCCGAGGTCCAGAGGAAGGGCAGCAGGCATGGCGGGCCCGGCCGGGGCGGCGGACTGGGCCGACGTGATTGGCTGCGCCGGCGCGACGGGCTGAGCCGAGGCAGCGGGCCGAGCGGGCCCGAGACCTGTCAGCTGCGCGAGCAGGTCCTCATCATCAGACCCGGCGTCCGAAATGTCCTCATAGTCCCGGTCCAGGATGCCGAGGTCCAGAGGAAG